ATACTTTCTTCCCTGTTTTCAGACATCAGAGTAGAAGACTGAAGTCTCACACAATTCTATTGTTGGTCTCCAAAGTCAAGCTGGGTTTTGTAGTAGATGAGACTTGGGTAACCTTTGCAGTTCAGGAGTCATAGTTCAGCCTCCTGAGCCTCTGGAAGACTGAAGAGTTTGTGAGTGTGTGATATTATTGCAAGTGTTGAAGGAAATTTTGTGAGTTTTACAGTGGAAATGAAAGTCTTCTGGAGACCAATTAATCCCATTGCTTCTCTTCAGTTCTCCCTAACTTTAAAGTGGTGGTAAATTGCATCATTGACATTCTGCTGTTCGCTGCTGAATTTCATCAACACAATCTGAAATACCCAATCCCAGACTAGTCAAACTTCAGTATAATAGTATCTCTTTCATATGTTTTATTGTATACATAAAAAGAGAAGGAAATAAAAAAGGGAAACACTGCAAAAAAATCTTCCATCTTTCAAGTACAATAAAAATGTTCACATATGCATTCATGCCATGTTATGCAATTAAATTATTAGAGCTTATCGTTTCACTCAATTATGGGAAATAAGTGGGAAATTAAAGAGATAAATTATTTAAATTTGCAATAATCCTTTAGGAGTCCTAGTGATAACATCTTATTTAAATATAGAGAAAAAAGTGAATTCTTCAAGCCACTAGACATTGAGAGAAAATTGCTATCCTTCCAACCTTATTGTATCTATTTTGATGAATCATAGAAGCATGCAATATCTATTTCCATTATCTCTTACTTTTAACAAAAAAATCTGGGATTTTGTGAGGCAAAGCTTTTTTTTGCTTACAAAGCATGAGAGTTACCTCAGAGATTTTTTTTTCTGGGGACAGGGAACTTTTACTATCTATACTATAATCCTTAGCATATTTTTAAGTGGTCAACTTTTAAATGAATGAGGCCAAAAAGTTTTGGTCCCTCTTATTCCGGAGGGTCTCAGATCCATTCATAAAACAATCAGTAAGAGAGCTGATTCTAATCTGATTCAAAATATTCTATTTTGTCTTTTCTGATGGCTTCTGCAGGGTCCCGCACTGAATCAAGTAAAAGTGAGTACATTTCTTTCAGTATTATTTCTTTCTCTTTTTTACTCTTGTTTTATCTTTATATCAGAACACTAGTTCTGCAGCTCTCAGTTTTCTGTAATTATGATTTTACAGGACAAAACCCTTGAGAAGAAACATTAGTCATCCCCAGAATATTCAACATCTACTTTCCTTCTCCTTGTTCCAGCCAACATTCTTCTTCATGCACATCTTTGTCTCCATTCTTGTAAAGATGAGAAGACAAAGCTGCTGTGATATTTTCCCCCTCCATTAAGAGCCGGGACAAAATGGCTTCTTTCTCTTTCCTTTCCTTACAAATGTATTGGTACAGAAAGGAAAGGAGCCCATATACTTGGTCCCTTAGACAAAGGCCCAAGAAATCCTTCTTAGTGTGTCTGGTCCTTTTTCATCTAACCCAAACTACCAAATTCTACCCCCAACAATGGTATTTTTAGGACCAGTTCAGACTCAGACATGATCACTAACACTACTGATGTCTGAGACCTAATTCCTTTCTTTTGCTCATCAAGTGCAGGGCTGACTCCACATTTGGAGGAGTCATTGGCATCCTTTCTACATCAATAATGCCTGGCAGGGCTGTGGTGGAGGCAGTGCTCCAGTCAGTATTTTCCAACTGGAATACACAGTAGACCTCAGTAGTGGCCCTATGACAGCCAGAGTCTGGCCTTGCCCCTGTCAGCTGGTAATCTCAATACATTTAAGGTTGTTGATATGGTTTCCAGCAGAAAGTTACTAACAAGGCTTTGCCCTGACCATTCAGAAAGAAGAGAGACATCACTGTGTGGAAACAAACAAGAAAGGTCTATCACAATGCAAAATGGAGGTGCAACAGAAAGCCTAAGATGGCCAATATCATTCTTGGTCCCATGCACCCATAAAATGATTGGAAATATTTGGGGGAAATATACAGGTAGTCCTTGACATATGATCACAACTGGAACCAGAATTTCCATTGCTAAGCAAGGCAATTAAGTGAGTCAGGCACAATTTTATGACCTGTTTTGCCATGGTTTTTAAGTGGACCACTGCAGCTGGTAAGTGAATTGTGTGGTTGTTAAGGGAATCTGACTCCCCCCATTGACTTTGCTTGTTAGAAGCCAGCTGGGAAGGTTATGAATGATGATCATATGACACACACACACCCCAAACCAGGAAGCTGCAACCATTGTAAATACAAGCACCCAAATTTTTATCACACAGCCTGTGGGAATTCTGCGATGATCATAAGTGGGAGGATTGATTTCAGTGCCATGATAGCTTTGAATGGTTGTTAAATGGTTGTAAATCGGGAACTACCTGTACAGAGTTTGTGTCGATGATGTGGTACATGGGCCCCAATTAACAGAGAAATGGAGATCTCTCAAATAGTATAACTTACAGGATACATATATATATATATATATATTAATCCCTTCTGAATTTTCTTGCCAGAAATGCCATTAATACAAAATAAGTGCAATAACAGAAGAAGTTGTCCTGAACATGCTTTTTCATTCAAAATCATCAGTGGAGCAGCAAATGTGGTTGGCCCTTCCATATGCTTTGATGGCAATGTGTAAGTTCAGTCGATGTGTATGTTCATTTGATAGACTGTGGCTTTGCATTTACCAGTCATGCTGGTTGAACTTCAACTCTCAATCTCTGTCTTCATTTGCATTTTTAGATTAATGAGCCATGTGAAGAATAATGTTGGTCGAGGTTTGAACATTGCGCTTGTTGACGGTGAGTTTTTCCAAAAACTCAATCATATTCAGTGTGACTTGTTCTGTTCCCTTGAGTGTTTCTTCTGAAATCACTGAGGCTCCCAATTGGAGTGCTGTTTTGAAGCAAATGTTTTTACTATTCAGTGTATTGTTTCCCACTGAATATGGGAGTCTGGTCTAGATAGAAATAATACAGTTGCCAGAACATATAAAAGGCATGGATGCAGATGAGGAGATATAGAACAGCTGCATTCTTCTAGCCATCTCCAGAAGAAATCTGCTTTAATGGTTTTGGTGAAGTTGCATATTTGTATGCAGAGCATACTTTTCATGTTTCTTTACTTAAATCCCAGGAGTGGTCACATAGCCATGAAAAAGCATAAACTATACAGGAGAATCTCTTCATAGAAGAGGTTACAGACAGATGACTGGTGCTATTGTGCAGTTTCCCTAGGATTATTTGTTTTCTTGTTTGTTTGTTTGCTAGATTTATATGAGGGACTATCTTGTCAGATACAACTCTGAGTGACTATCAGCAATAATAAAAACACAAGAATAAAAGAAGTCAACAAACAAACATGAAAAAACTGGTGCCCAGTTAATGGCATCTATCTAACTATAAAGTTCCCTGGGTTCCAGTTTTGCTTCTCTTATGCCTCTGGGAGTGGGGAGCCAATTCTTAATGACTTTCTGGAAAGCTAAGCAGGTGGAGCTCTGCCAGGTCTCAAGAGGGACAATGTTTCACAGGGCAGGGGCTGCTACTGATAATGAATTGCTGTTCACTGTTATCAGAAATAGATGGTGATGATAGATAGATAGATAGATAGATAGATAGATAGACAGACAGACAGACAGACAGACAGACAGACAGACAGACAGACAGACAGACAGACAGACAGACAGACAGACAGACAGACAGAGATGATAGGCAGATAGAGACAGACAGACAGACAGACAGACAGACAGACAGACAGACAGACAGACAGACAGACAGACAGACAGACAGACAGACAGACAGATAGATAGATAGATAGATAGATAGATAGATAGATAGATAGATAGATAGATAAGAGAGAGGTGAGAGAAAGAGGGAGAGAAGTGATAGATTTTTCTCTCAGAAACATTTCTGCTTGTTGAAAAATTGCAATGAAAATGAAATTGTGTTGCAAAATTCAGGTATATGTGGATTGTGAATGAAGAACCATGTTTTGATTCACATTGGTTCAAAAATGCAAATTGAGGTAGGCTTGGGTTTAATTAAATACATTTCTCTCCTATTCCCAGGAGAAGGTAGATGAGGATTACTAACCACAAGAAAGGAATGGATTAGTTCAACAACTAGGGAAATCTTTCTGTACAGTATTGAAATGATCTGAGTTTATATTCTAGAACTGATGGATTTGCTCGCCATTTTATCATAGGTAGATTTCTCCCTTTGTCTGCTACTGGACATGGCTAGTCAGATACATGGTGCTATTTCCAAATCAATACTGATTCATTGCAACCAGTGAAAATGCCTTAGCTGCTCTATAACTTTGGGGAAAGTAGTACTACCACTATCATCCTGTGTTTCCATATGAGTGAGACAAGCATTCTGATTGAATATTCCCTCCTAAGAAGTATTTCAATATTTCTCACTCGGGATTTATTCCCATTTCACTCAGGTTTTATTCCCATTCCCATCACTGAACTGGGTGAGCAACCTGTTTGTAGGACAGGAAGAGATAACATCACTTTATATTCCCCATCACCCCATTGCTAAGGGTCAGAATTCTCCTTTACCATTTATGTTACCATAAGCATGCCTTTCCAAATTAGCTGATGTATTTCACTTCATCACAAGCTAACCCCAACAGTTTGTTGGCTAATTCACAGGGCAACAGAGCTGAAACCCTTCTATCCCAAATGACTGGGAAAATATTGAAATGGTACAGCACTGGACTTATTTAATACTTTTTTTAAAAGGGGAGGGAGAAGGAAAAGCACATAGGTCGTGGAGAAAGACAGCATTTTTTGTAAAGGACAATGCTTCTGCCAGGTTTCAAATGAGCAATCTTCTATTTATAGGACAAGTGTTATAGTCACTGTGCTGTTACTGATAAGATTTAGAAGATATTAGAAATCCTGGTAACCATTGATTTAGATGGGGGTTATTCCTGCCCCTGTGAAATAGTTGATGAACTGCAAGAATTCGCTCTGAGAAAGTGAAATGCACCAACCAAAACAGACAAGAGCAGTTGAGCCACATAAGAAGGAAAAGAATGCTTTAAATAAAATGCCCAGAGGTCACATTTACAATGGGAGGTGAGTGAGTGAAGAACAAAGTCATCCATTCCAATAGAAGAGACTATATGCAGACCAGGGTTGAACTAGGGAGTCCTTGGTGCTCTTTCTGAGCTTGGTTGCTCACTTGCAGACATTCCATGACCCAACTAGTTATCATCATCAGGGCCCAACTGATGATGATGATCTGCATTGACGATGTTATCTACAGTAGACGGGCAAAGAAACACCCAAGTTCAGAGAGCGCCAAAGATTCCAACATGATCCATTTCTACCCTTCAGAAATGGTCTGCTCTGGTGATGGGCTCACTAAACAGTGCGGATAAGCTCCCAAAATGTTTGCAGGCTGTAACTGGTGAAGACAAAGTGAAGCAAAGATGGATCTAGTTTACAACTGCTTGCAAATCAAATAAGCAGTTTTATGGCAAGGGTTAAAATAAGCCAGCATTTTCTGAACAGATGCAAAACTGGAACTCCTTCTTCCCCAGAGAAAATAGGCAATGCTCAGGAATCGTAAAACAATATAAAAAATATATCATTTTTATGATAATTAAGCTAACCTTGAGAAAATAGTGTGGACATCTGGCAAGCCCAATGAACTTTAGCCCTGTTAAAGACTTCATAAACCTTTTCTGTAGCTTAATCATAAATTCTATTTATAAAGGAAGAGGCTCCCCACAACGAGGGAACGGTTGGTGAAGATAACAGAATGTGCAGAGATGGTAAATTTGACTTGTTTGATTAGGGAAAAGACAACAATATATCTGCAAGTGACCAGAAAACCCTCCCCCTCCTTTTTTTTATGAAAATGGAAAATAAAACAAACTTGGTTTTAATGATTAGAAAGGATAGAGAGTGGACAGAAGGGACCCACAGTATAACTAGAATGAGAGGATTAAATATTCAAACTTTCTGTAAAAAAGATTCTTCAATAAAAGTTAATACCCCCCCCCAAAAAAAAGGAAGAACAGGCAGACCAAGAGGTGCTACCTATAGATACAGGTAGTGAAAGAAAAATCTCTGGGCTGTTTCCTACTGTGAGAGGGCAGACCAAAAAGGAAAGTCCAATCAGATATCACTTGTCTTTGTACTTAAAAAAAGGAACCTGTAGTTATTCAAGATCAATACATGGGAAGAAAGTCCATATCATTCTGAGTCAGTAAAGACTGGAATAGCCTAGTAAATAAAAATAAATGAGCAGAATTTGAATGGGTGAGATACAGTGCAGCAGGGTACAGAAAGAGCAATTGCCCTAATTACTCCAAAAGGAGTAGTAAAAAGTATATCTCTAGATATAAATGATGTGCCTGATGTACACATAGGTGGTGGAACTGTACACACTGTAGTACTATCACCAGTGTTATCGCCATCTTGCCTATATACCAGGAAACATATCTGAGCTGGCAACAAATGTGGCTATGCTGTGTGTAGTTTTGATCATTAGCTAATCACAAATAGGTCACCTGCTTTATTCATACCTGACATTTAGTAGTTTCTCAAGTAGTCTCTGCAGGGCAAAAGTAGTTTATAGTATAGAAAAAAATGCTATTGTCATGGTTCCGATAGATGAAACTCTTCATAGAACTTTGAGGCATTGTTTACCTTAAAGAATCTTTATTGGAGTTGCATAGCTTCGGCACTAACACAGTTGAAACCAAAATCTGAATTCCCCTCCCCTGAGCACATAGTATCAAAGCACAATTCCCTCCTCCAATTAACAGTCATAAATCACATTCTCCAATTAGTTTGAAATGCCGGCTTTCCCTCCAGTTCTTCAACCTGCCATTTCTTATCATCTCTTATTTCAAAAGCACTGAATTCACACACTATTACAATATTGTTATGTCTAACTAACTCCCATCACATTCCTCCTCCTCCCCCAGTATCATCTAATTCTAAGAGTAAAGCATAAGGAAGAATAAGGCTGGATCTCCATATGTTGTCAAAGCAAGAACATCCAATGTTAGCAGCATTGACAGCTATGCTTTTGTGGTTGTTTACAACGCAACTTTTTTCTGAGTCGACTGATGCAAAATTCAATAGAAGAGAATTGCAGTGTTTCATTGGCCTGAGGTGGTGCGTGGCATTTTTAGCAAGGGCAAAGGCAGATGGGGAATGATGCAATAGAATGTGTGGGCCTGCTTTGATATTTCCCATTTCTGAAATTGTATTTTTGTTAGTGAACTGTATGAAATCCATTTCAGGACTTACAACAAACTCTTAAAGTATTCCTCAGAGTTTTTCAAAATTCCCACTACCACAAGTTGGAGAGGCCTCTGAAACCACAGAAGGGAGCTAGAAAGGAGAATGCAGCCCGGGGGTGGGTGGTGGGTCGGAAGGGATAATTATCCACTTAACAAACACATTTTGAAGAGAAGAAATCTTTGTAGCAAGCGTCCATAGGTGGAACTGTACCAATAGTTAATATTGTTAAATATTTACTAGAATTTCCTACAAGTTGCATGAAGTCAGGCTTCACAGTACTTGATTACTGAGTTACTTTTGTGAAGGATACACAATTTATATTCGGATAACTGGAAGATTCAAATATTGTTAGAAAAAAGTGGCAACACTTTCAGACTTACATATTTGCCTTCTTTGGGGTACAGTGTCACTGTTACTATTGATTCAAAAATCTGCAAGATTTTTCAGTCAGAAACAAGGCAGGAGAATTAATTGTATGCCTATAAGAAGCAATTCTTTTTTATCAGTAGTTTCAACATCCTGGAAAACTTACCCTTCTTTATCCTTGAAGGAGTTACATAGTTTCCTCATACTTCGAATGCTTACTTCCTTTAAAATTATCTGTATCCATTTTGTAGATTTTGGCCATGCCCCAAGAACAAGCACAAAAGCCGTCTTTAGCCATTTTAGCAACAGGGCAAAAGGGGGGATGCATTGAATGCTGGAAAAAAAATTCTTATCATATACTTCCACCCATATTGAAAACCTGTTCCACTTTTGATAACTAATTAATTTTAGCCTTCAACAGTTTTATTTCATTTTTCCATTATTCCAGAGACTGAACTAAGTCCACATACGTTATAAACATCTTTTATTAAAACTTGTGTTTCACTTTAAATCTCCAGGATCCACAGGACAACTCATCAAAATAGATAGCTTTGACATGTATTCTGGAGGTATGTGAATTTGTTAATCTGTTATGTATTAATAGTGCAACACTGAGGGTTAAGGGGAGTTGCAAGTACAAGAAAATTTCCATAAAGCATTGTTGAGATGGTTAGCTTATATTATGGTTAATATTATTATTAATTATTATTATTAATTTGATTTATATACCGCCCTTCTCCCGAAGGACTCAGGGCGGTGCACAGCATATTAAAAACAAGTAACAATAAAATACCAAAATAAAATAAATAAATACCAAAATAAAAACCCCTCTAAAACCAAATTAAAAGCCAAATATTAGTAGCTGTGTCGTAATTAAAATTATATTAAA